AGGGAGGGGGTGACGCCATGCTGGCGAGGGGGTGGGCGTCGGGTGGCCTTTTCCTGAGGATACTCTTCAGGAGTGAGTGATGGGAGGAGATCCCGGTGGGCAGGAGGGAGCCGAGTACCTGGAGAGAAGCTTTGGGAAAGCCCAGGATGAGTAGAGGGATGCTTGGGCTTGCAGCCTTTAAAGCCGATGGCCTGAATCCCAGAACGGGAGCCCTGTGAAGCAGCCCTGAGCCTTCACGTGCCGGGTCAATAGGCTAGAGCCTCGTGGTGCTGCACAGGGTGGGTCCCGCGCGGCTCTTGGGGAGCGGGGAAGGGGAGGTGTGCTCCTCCTGCCTCTCCGAGCAGAGCCTTCGGCCCCTCTCCCAGCTCCACCCGGGAGCTCCGGTCGGGAAATCCCCGCTCGGGGACTAACCCTGGAGGCCATGGCCAAGCATCTGCTCTGGTTTCCCACGGCCAGTCCCCTGCGCGTGCCTCCTCCGGCCGGTGCCTCACCCTCCCTCCTGTGCCTGCAGAGTGGTTCGCCACCAGCACCGACAGCTACATCCTGCGGGACCTGGACGACACCTCGGTGGTGGAGGACGGCAGGAAGAAGCTCAACACGTTGGCGCATTACAAGGTAAACCTGCCGGTGCCGCAGGAAAGCTTTGCCTCCTCGGAGCCCGCCTGGCCCCGGGGGCGAGCGGCGGTTCCCCCCAAACCAGGATTGTCAGGAACAGGCAGGGAGGTTGCCATAGCTCCGGGAGAGCTTCTGGGGAATAGACATCTGCCCTGGCGAGAAGCTCGTTAATATTGCAACACACTGAAACTAATTAAACACTCTTCATGCAAAACAAGTTCTTACTGACAACAGAAAGAGGAGGGAGAAAAGCTCCAATTCCCAGCGGCCACCGGCCCAGCTGATGAGGACCACTCTGCTCTTGATCCGTGCTCCTGCTGGAATCGCTGGCACGAGCGTCGCTGCCTGCCCTCAGAGCAGGGGCCAGGGATGCCATCGAGGAGCAGAGGCCAAAAGCGTGGGGAAATGTGGCAGATCAAATTGTTTTCTTGACCGTTTTTTGCTTTTAAAATTAAATGAAACCAGAAGTTCTTCCATGATTTCCATATTCGCTGGTGTGCCTGGGAGCGCAATCCTCACTGCTCTGTAACAGCACATGCAAAATCAAAAACGCAGCTGAGTGCTTATTAATATTATTTGTGTAACAGCCGTGCCGCGGAGCCCTGCTGCTGGCACAGTGCCCCGCTGCATCGAGAGCCGGAGCCGCGGCACAGAGGTGGTACCAGCCCTGCGGCTCCGGGATGCAGCCAGGCTCCTTCTCCCCTTCCAGGGAAAGGCAAAACAGCATCTGCACAGCGTAACGCTCCTTCCCCTCCGAATTACAGGGCGTCAACATCCAAAAATGTATCTTGGATGCATGTCTTTGCCTGATTCTGGTTGGATTTGAGAACCTCGCTATCTTGCGTTTGCATTCAGAAGACCCTTTCCGTGCAGGGCGGTGCCGTTACTGCCAGTTCCCAAGCTGGGGAGCAGGGAAGGGCAGGGTGGGGATGTTTGTGGCAGAGCAGTGATTGCACCAGCATCCCCCAGCTCCCCCCAGCTCCCCGGGGCCCTTCTCAGCTCCACGGGAGGTGCCGTTTGAGCCCCCCTCATCAGC